TATGTATATGTATATGTATATGTATATGTATATGTATATGTATATGTATATGTATATGTATATGTATATGTATGTGTGTCTGTATCTATATGTGTGTGTCTGTGTCCATGTTCCTAATTGTATCTGGTAACAACTTGGTGTTAGTACGAACATGGCAAAAGTTATGTCATTGTTCTCTGCGATGAAGGCAGACTAGGTGCAGTTTTGATGGAAGAGCTGTAGCACTTCCTCATTCTCCCCACACTGGTCCACGGTTGTGTCCCATGTAAATGCTTGCCTAGATCTCACAACATTACTTAGAAATGCCACTACTATCTTTGTATTTTTTTTGAGGGTTTATTGTAAAGATGCAGTAAAATTTGTATTCCCATTTGCCCATCAATACAAATGAAATATTGTAATTGACAACTAGATTACTTATCAATTAATTAGAAATCTTAAAGCACTGGGAGTAGACTGTCATTCCCACTTGTGTTCGCATTGGTTGGGAATGGCTGGATAATAGATGTTTGTCTACTCAGTAGATGTGAACAGGTCAGCCTGAACATGTCCATGGTTTTAAGTTAAAATAATTTCAAAAAAATTGAGCAATATTACTGATCCTTTTCCCTACTCAGATGCTTGCTAGAAACTGATCAAAAGAAAATCTCTGTAGTCTTTCTATTCTAAGTAAACTATTTTAGCAGTATTTTTCTCCTGAGGATTCTTTTGGTGTCTGTTTGTTTATACTTTTTATTGGCTCGCTCCCTGTCTGGGTCCCGTAGCAGCAGACTGGCAGTCATCTCAAGCTTGCTTTTATCAGCGAACTTTAGACTAGTAATCACTCAGATGTTCACAGGTCAGAATACTGAGCATAGAAAATGCTTTTCTCCTTTCTGTCACTTACTGATGTGCATGTGACATGCCGCCACACCTGTAACCCCTCTAGAGGCAGAGAAGATTCTTACAGAATTCTTCAAGACTTATCTGTTAAAGCAGATCAAGATTTGCTTACTAAGCTACAGTAGATATCTAGTCTATGTGCAATTCTACAAGAGGTGGCTTTGAATTGTAGTTATGTGGTGTCTTCAACAAAGGACAGTAACTTTTAGAGACAGACTAAGGCAAAGCGCAAAGGGAAGTAACTTGTGGGAAGGCAAACAAGTGGTAGCAAGTCAGGGAATGCTGTTGTTGATTCCTTTGCCACCATTATCAGGCCTATAGGGGCTGACAACTGTGTTCAATATTTAGTAAATATTTGTATTCCCTGGTGGAAGGCAAAGCATGATACATATTGTAGTTGCAAATCTGTGTCTTCCTTTTAGGCAAATAGGAGGAAGTCAAAGGTTTTGTGTATCTGCTGTTATCTTTACTGTTTTCAGCTCAGCAATTCCTCTTATTTTAGAGAGGCCTCTCAATCACCACACTGTTAGTTCTAGTGTGTTGCTTGCTAGTCCTTCAGGCATTCAGTGTGTACTTTACAACTTTGTTATAGTTGTCAGTACTCATGAGACCGGGAACATAGCTGTAGATCTAACAAGTGCTGGCAGATTTTGGGCAGCTCCTAGTCTAGAACAAAGGATAACTAGCTTTATGTAATGTCTTTAGCCACAGAGCTGAGAACTTGCCTGTAAGCGAAAGGCTTAGGGTAGATCCCGGCTAAGGATGAAGGACTGGGATGGAGACAAGAAGCTCTGAGCAGAAGCCTCTGGAAGCCATGTAAGAAATGCCCAAGGAGTCGAAAAGGTCTCTTTGGAAGACTGAAGACATTTTGCTTTGTTCAGACTTCACCTCAACAAAGAGGAGAGAAAGCCCCCTTCCCAATGAGCGACCTGAACAGTGGCTAATAATCTAATTAGCATTTCAAACAGGGGAATAAAAGATGCTAACCCCCTGTGCCCTAGGAAGCAAGGAGAGAATTCATTGCAGTTTCACTCCACTGAGGCACCCTTTCTTTCTTCTTTCCCAAAATTTCAGTCTTGTCCTTCTTTCTGTGTGTATATGTAGATGATTTCCTTCTGCCTCCTAACTTCCTCTTCCTTTTTTTAATTTATCTTTTATTAGTTTGTTTTTGTTTTTAAGTTTCTCAGTCTGGTAGTGGTGCCTACAGCCTTTAATCCCAGTACTGGGAAGGCAAAAGCAGCCTAATCTCTATGAGTCTGCAGCCAGCCTGATCTACAGAATGAGTTCCACAACAGGTTTGGAGAAATCCTATCTTCAAAGGCAAGCAAATAAAAAAGATTCTCTTTACATGGAGCTTGGTAAACCTTATGGAAGAGTTGGGGTAAGGGGGATTAAAGTCCCAAAAGGGGATAGGAACTCCACAGGAAGAGCAACTAACCCTTGGGGCTCTCAGAGTCTGAACCACCAACCAAAGAACATACACGAGGTGGGCCTAGACCTCTCTGCACATATATAGCAGATGTGCAGCTTGATCTTCATGTGGGTCCTGACAACTGGAGCTAGGGCTATCCCAAAAGCTGTTGCCCATATCTGGGATATGTTCTTCTAGCTGGGCTGCTTTGTCTGGCCTTGATAGGAGAAGATGCGCCTAGCCCAGAAGAGACTGGAAGTGCAAGAGGATACCCAGGGGAGACTCTACCCTCTCAGAGGAGAAAGGGAGAAGGATATAGGGAGAGGTATTGTGGGAGGGAGTGTCCTGGAGGGGGAGCAGCAATTGGATATAAAGTGAAGCTTTTAAAAATGTTTCTCCATTTTCATTTATTCTCTTTTGCCACTTTCTGCATGAATTTTTCCATCCACAGTACAAGTATGTACATTATATTAGTATGAATGTGTCTCCATTTACTTTATATAATACATACATACTTCATCTTTTTATACATAGTGTTTTCATTTCATGACACACTCTCTAAAAACCCAAACCAAGCCACCAAAACAGAACCTTCTGTCTTTCCCAATGGTCTTTTCTGCTTAGGATCTTCTTTCTTGATGTCTACTGATTTTGAGCTTTGAATCCTTATCATAAACACAATATACTACTAAAAAGCTTTAATAATGTTCTATAACCTTCCAAGCAAATGCACTTCTATCCACTCAAATTTTTAATACTTGAAATGAAAGCTAATATAATATATCAACTATAAGGCGGGAAGTATTTTTCAGCCTTTATGCATAACCAGTATCCACTTTGTTAATGGACCCTAAAATAAGGATATAAACTTTTTAGTAACTTCAAGTTCAAAAGTTTGTGATACAATCTTGTTTCCCTAGAAACACAATATAATTTTTCTAGAGAAATAGTATTACAAGTTACACTTTATTATAAAGTAAGTAACCATATCTACAGAGCAACAGTTCTCTCAACAGGTTTTCAGGCAAACCATTTTGCTGGTTTCTGTTTCTCATCAGAAACAGTTCAGGTCACTGAGCTACAGCAAGGCCACATCTGCCACGCCCCTCACCTGGTGCTGTGGTTTTCGTTTTGGGCAGAGCTCTGCTTGTGCCCTCTCACGTTTAAAATCGTTTTTATTGTCTGATCATTTTGATCACATCAATGCTAATTGTCTTCTAAACTATTTTCTACAACTTATAGTAACTGTGTAGTTTGCACATTTATTTTCCATGTTTTATTGGATTAAGTGGTATAAATACATTGCACAGGAAATGACTTACTTCAGAGCCCGCTATGTGAGAAATACAGTGTTAAATGCATGGTAGGAGAGTAATGACTTATCTCTAGCTATAACTGATACCACCCAGATAGAAAAGATTTAAAGGAGAGAAGCAAATTTATGTAATAATTTTTTCATGGCATGGAAGCCTTCAGAAATGAAGACCTATTTAAGGCAAGTCCAATTGAAGAAGTGGAGAGTTGTGGAGAAATATGACTAGGTATTAAGGTAGTGCTTCAGCGGGAGAACATGAAGGGAGCTTAACAAGGCTGCTCCCTCAGCTGCTTCCTGAACCCTCTGTGTCACACCCCTCCCAGGCCTGTGGTCCCTGACTGCTTTCTGTGGGAAGTGGATGAGAGCACCTTTCTATGCCTCATGGCATCCTTCCAGGAATGGGGCTACTGGTGTCTATGATGCCTTTCATGGAAGAAAAAGTGAGGCAAAGACAGGAAAGAGAAGATCCAACAGCCCTTGCTTCTGACCTCATAGCTTCCTTCAATTTGAAACACTCAGCACACCAAGATACCAAGTTTAAGTTTTTCACACTCAGCTTTGACAGGAGTATCATAATAACAAATTCAAACACATACCCCCTTTTGGTTGTCAGCTCCCAGAGGAACAAATAGATTGTGCATGTCATAACAACCCCACATGTGAGTAGACCAGAACATTAGACATTGTGCATCCCAAACACTAATTAACTTATCTGCAATCTTGAAATAGTTATTTATATATACAACAAAATAAGAAAGAAGATGCACTGTACAATGGTGTATTGTTCATTTGTTTTTAAGTTCCTCCTTCTGAATTTAAAATACTGCCTTTATTCTACTGCTCTGGTAGCTATTATATAGGTGCTGTGTCTAAAATAAAAAGCTGACAAAAATATTACATCTGAATGTGTACTTAGAGCCTGTCTTCCTCTTAGGATCCTAAGAATGGCGTGTTAGCACTAATGAGTGTGTGTTGATACATTGTAATTAGCTTATACATATGTGATTCAAGTACCCAATGTCCCCCTCTGTTCTAGAACATCACACAGGATACCTTGCTGTGTTGAATTACTGTTTCCTTAAACTACAACCACTTGTCAGACTGCCTTTTTCTATTTAATAGTATACACTGGGGTTTCCTAAAGGCATTTTTTTCAGGTACACCATGTACTCTGACCATACGGATACCCTATACCTTCCTTTCTCTTCACCCTGCTCCCACTATTCTCCTGCTTCCCCTGATTTTTTTTCCACTTTATGCACCAGATTTTAGAAAGGCTCTCTTTTCAATGTATGTAGTAAGGTATGGGATTATGCTCAAAGTACATTCTATACATGTATGAAAATGATCTTTTAAAATCCTGGGTTATTTTTTAAAGCCAGAGGGCTGTTGCTGTGTGACTTAATTCCAGGTTCTATTCTATCTCATTCTATTTTATTGATCCATAGGTCTATATGTTGCTAGTTCATTGCTGTTTCCATCCCTGAGTCTCTTTAGTATGTCTTCAAATGAAACACTGATGATTCCTCAGATTTCTTTTTATTCTGGATTGCTTCCCCCATGGAACTTTTGTGGTTCCCCATGACTCCAAGATTATCTGTTTCATTTATGTACAGAATGTACTAGAGTTTTGGTAGAGATTTCATTCAACTTATAGATTACTTTTAATAATGTAGTCTTTTCATCATCTCCATCTGCCAACCAGTGAGCGTATGGAAGATATGTCTAATCCTTGAGATGTCTTCAATTTCTTCAGTGTCTTAAAAGAATTCATTCTGAAGTTCCTCACTTCCTTGGTCAAGTTTATTCCTTGTTCTTTGGGTTATTTTGTTTTGAAATTATTTTGAATGGTCTTGTTTATCTGATTTATTCCAGGAATGTTCATTTTTGGTAAATAAAAAGCTATTAATTTGGGGAATACTGATTTTGTATAGTGATTCATGCTCAGTGAAGAAGTGGGAGATGAATGCGCCTCTCAAGCTAGCCTTCTCTTTCTTTGATGTATTTTATTTATATGTATGTGTGAACTTACGAGCACCGTCAACGTGGACATTGTCCACTGATAACAGCAAAGCGCTTTGGGTCCTTTGTATAGTTCATATTTTCAGCCATTTAGCAGAAAATGTCTCACTCAGCACAGAGAAGGAGAGGTGGACACAAAAATCACACCTCTAACCAAAGAGTCTATTTGCAACTGAAGCCTGCTGGGAAAGTTTAGGTCAGTTTTGCCAGCAGAGTGCCACTAGGTATATTAACCACTTTCAGGGAAGGTCCCCTGCTCGGAAACAGACAGACAGTACAAAACAGAATCCTTATTCGTTTCTTTC